GGATAGTGCCTAGGTCCAGGGTTAAAACCCCACGACACAAAAAAAGACTCCAAGACTGGTGGAACAGATTAGAAGACCCAGAAATGAATCCATGTATCCTAGCCATATGATTTTGATGAGAGCCTAAGATATATTTTGGAAACAAGACAGTTTCTCCAAACAGTGATGGAAAACTGAATACTCAGATACAGATAAATTCAAAGTTAATCAGGAATCTTTAAGTCCTGAAACTGAAATTACTAGAGGATAGAGTAGCAAAAGTACTACAATTACTGGTATAGACAGTAACTCCCTGAAAAGAACTCAAGTAGCTCAGCAAATATAAATGAGTACAAACAAACTAAGCAGCACTAAGTTAAAAAGCTTCTATACAACAAATGAAGAAGTCAGTAGGCTAAATAGAATACAGACTGGGATAAGGAATCAATACATCAACAAGGTAGTAAAACCAGAGGAAGTTAAACATTAACTCAGCTAATAAGCCGGCAAATGAACTAAAAGCACACTTCTTGAAAGAGGAGTAAAGATGGCCAAAGAATACTTGTAGAAATGCTCAATATCTTAACACAAAAATGTGACTCAAAACAGCACTGAGATTCCATATCACTCTAATCAGAATGGCCATCATCAAGAAAATAAGCAACAAAAAAAGTTGAAGATGTGAGGAAAAAGGAAACATTATACAATCTTGGAGAAAGCATACATTAGTGCAACTACTACAGAACTAGGGCAGTCATTAAGGAGATTCCTTAAAAAAAAAAAGACCCAAAAAACTAAAAGTAGTAATACTACTGTTAAGCATTTAAAATTGCCCAGATGATGAATGGTATATATTCACAAGGGAGTAAAATGAAATGGAAGAATAAAATTATGTTATTTGCAGGGAAATGAATCTGGAAACCATCATATTAAATGAAGCAGGTTTAGAAGGATTAAGCTCATGTTTCCTATCATATAAGTATTGTAGACTTAAAAAAGTATACATACATACGTATGACCAGCCTGATTAAAGTACAATATATGCATGTATGAAATACCACGGTGAAACAATATGCACTTCAATAAAAATGATGTTATGGAGTTGAATTATGTCCTTTCTGAGGAGAAGGTACTGTGAGTGGAAGACGAACAGGTAATTGGGGAGAGTGAAAAAGGGCAAATATGCTAAAAATACTTAATGTACACAAATGAATACAGAGCGAAAAAGCTTGTTGAGATGGGTTTAGAAAGGAGAGTAGTGGAGGGAATGACGGAGGAGGTAACACTGACCAGGACTCATGGACATGTTAAAATGAAGCCCCCTTCCATAACTAATTGATGCTAAAAATTGAAAGAAAGAAGGAAAGAAAGCAAAAGAAAGGCAGAAAGAAAGAAAGGAAAGACAGAAGGAAAAAAGAAAGACAGATTGTCTGGAAGTATCACCCTGAACTCAAGAGTGTTATCAGTAGTTTCCTACTGGGTGAAAGAAAATAAAATTTTCAGTTGAAATGAATTTACTTAATTTATTAAAATAGAAGTCTGTATCTCTGTAAAAGCTAACAAAATAAAATTAATCAGTGGAACAAAGGTTTAGTTCTGCCCATCCTAGAGATTGCAGATGGTCATTAGGACATCAAAGACAACCTGCCCATTAGAAAGCAGGCTCTTAGTGTAGGGGTGATAGTCCTAATGGATTTACTCAGGGTTCCTTCTCAGCTTAGTGTAAGTTACTGGTCTCATAGTAGCTGCACTCTGTAATCTCCTGGAGAGCTTCAGACATCCTGATGCCTGAGTCTTCCTTAGAGATTCACATTCAATCGATATGGAGTAGGAAGGTCACTGGGATTTGCAAAAGTACCCAGGTGGTCCTAAGGCAGTCAAGGCTGAGAATTGCTGGCTTAAGGTGAAAAGTCTCATCTTTGAAGATATTATTAAAGGCCCGAGAGTCTTTGGTCCTTCCAATGAGGCAGTACAAACTATAAAGTTGAATTTAATGTCATGTATACTACAACCAAATATTTTAAAGTTAAGACTGATTTTTCTTTCTTTTCTTGGGAAAAATGTATTATGATTGTTTAGAAGCAAGCTAGTTATAGTTCTTTTTTCCAAATGTTACAGTGTGTTCAAGTAATGAAAAACTTGACTTGTATAGGATCTAAAGGATCTGAAAAAATGTAGTTGATATGGAATAGGCTAGTCTTCCTTTAGTTTACCAGTAAGGAAGACGAATAGCAATCAGGTAAAAGCTGGTCCTGTGTACTTTAATAAAGGGTTGTGGGAGTGCAAGTTTGTGGGAGCTCTTTCTTGCATGCTTTTTCTTGTGTACACAAAAACTTTAGATCCCTGATGTTGGCCTAAAAATATGCTGAATCCATTAACATCAACTGTGAGTTGACTTGCTCATGCTCTCTTCTTTTCTTTGAGTGAATTATTTCACCAGTAAGAAATAATCTTTGTAGCTTTTTGTTCAGCTCAATGACTGGTATTCTGGCTAATCTAATTATTGTGTTTGCTGCTGTAGGAGGAAAATCTTATCTTTCTGATCCCACTAGCAGTGCTCTGTCTGAGGGTCACAGGGAAGATGCAGTCAGGAGTTAGTACCTTATTCAGAGACCCACTGATTCTGAGTAAGTTGCTGGCTCGCAGTGGAAAGGATTGGCTAAAGTTATAAAGTCTATTTAATTCTAAGTTTTATAAAATTAATTCTATTAAAATGAAATAGGGTTAGGAATGTAGCTTAGTGGTAGAGTGCTTGCCTAGCATGCATGAAGCCCTATGTTTGATTCCTCAGTACCACATAAACAGAAAAAAGCCAGAAGTGGCGCTATGGCTCAAGTGGTAGAGTGCTAGCTTTGAGCAAAAGAAGCTCAAGGACAGTGCCTGGGTCCTGAGTTCAAGCCCCAGGAATGGAAAACAAACAAAAAAATATAACATAAGAGTATGGGGGAGTAACTCAGTAATACAATGCTTGCCCAGTCTATGCAAGACCTGGGGTTTCATCTCTAGCACAAAACAAAACAAATAAAAAAAACCCCTACAAGATTAAAAAAAAAACACTCAAAAAATAAGATTCTACCACGAGGCAACATGGCATGGTGATGCACCTCAAACTTCATCTGTCTGAGCTGGTTCTGAACTTCCCCAAACTTCAGTTTTTTCACCTGTAGAATGAGGTCCTACAGAGAAGGATAGAGTATAGTGAATGTCTCATGTCTGCTCCACTGGTATATAGTGGGAAGTCAATAAAAGTGAACCTTTTTCTTTTCTGTAGTCAATAAATGGCCACAATTTGAATCCGTTTCTATAGGCTCTTTATCTCTGATTATACTTTCATTGAAAATCTGAATTTTTGATAGATTTGTGTAAGCAAAGTATCGTTGCAAAAACATTAATCCATGTGATTTTTCATATAATTCTCAGGCATGTTTGAATTTACATAGAATTCTCTCAAAGGTGAGGTTATGTTGACGATCTGTGTGTTTAAGCCATCTGTATTCCATGAGGCTCCAAAGACATAAATTGTGAGGCAAGGGGAGCCAGGCTCAGTATGTAGTATTTGGTTCCTTGTCTAATAATGCTCCATCTTTCATTTTTTTTTTTTTTTTTTTTGCTGGTCCTGAGGCTTGAACTCAGAGCCTGGTTGCTGTCCATGAGTCTTTTGTTCTCAAGGTTAGCACACTACCACGTGAACTACAGTGTTACTTCTGGCCTTTTCTCAGTAGTTTACTGGAGATCAGTGTCTTATGGACTTTTTGCCTGAGCTGGCTTTTTGCCTCAATTCTCAGATCTCAGCTTCTTGAGTAGCTAGGATTACAGGTGTGAGGCACTGGTGCCCGGTTACAACCCAAACTTCTAACTTCTTTATGGAGGAATATAAACTTCATATGCTATCCCAAGAAGTTGATGAAGGATGATGTGGGCATGGAAAGGAACATGGAATCTGATTTAGCAAATTGTTTTTCTTTGGATGCTGATTGCTTGTTTCCCTGGACTTTCCCAAAATGGGAAATGGGCTACCTCAACGTCTTGATTTTTTTTTCCTAATTTCCCACCCACCTTAACTTGGTATTATTTAAACCATCTGTGGGCCAAGAGCAATCAGTTTTACCTGAGGTCCTGGGTACAAGTTAGGGAATGAGTACTTACTGATCTATGGCTTGCTTAGATCAATCTAGAATGCACTCATTTATGTGTGAAAAAGGACATAACCTGTTGAAATTAAACCTATATCTAATCTCTATTCACTTACTCAATTTAGGTCATTTGGGACAGATAATTCATTAATCTTACACTATGAGGAGTCTTGGAAATCTATGTGCCCAATTCCTTACTTTTTACAGGTTCGACTTAAGAGGGAGCCAGAGATTTCCTGGTACTGCTACACTGTACTAACTCAGGGCAGATTGTGAAGGGAAATCCTAGCAACTTAGTATGAGTTGCCGTCTTTTCCTTCCACTGAACAGAAAATAAGTGAAAATTACTTCTAGGGCAATATGAAGTAAAAATATTTGAAAAAAAGGAAAATACTTTCAACTTATTTACTTCTATGTCAAAACTAAGATCACCATGTACATCTTAGAGAAGTTTTGAAGCTCATTTGTTATTTAGAACTGATCAATATTTGAAATGAATGTCTTAATTACCAGATGGAGAATGATATAACATTTGTGATGTATTAACTGACACTGGTATTCAAAATTCACATCAAGTACAAAAGTAACAATTTAAGCATGATAGATCTAGGGATGCAGCTCAACGGTAGACTACTTGCCTAGCATATACAAGGCCTAGGGTTCAATCTACCACATGGCAAAGAGAATAACATTAGATAAATGCTTTTAGAGAGATTAAATGTCAAATATCATGGATATTTAATATCATGGATATCCCTTGATTAAATACCAAGGAAAGACAGCTACTGAGGTATATCTTGCTGAAAAACATTTTTCTCTTCGTATCTGCCCTTCCTAGTATGTCTCAGGGGAAACAAAGACATACTCAGTTTTTTAGACCAAAAGATGTATAATTTGTAGAAGCATCTCCAACAGCACTAAGAACACTATCCTTCAGATATACATGCAGGTAATATTCATTAATTTGGAAAGAAAATTCAATTGCAGAGAGTAAGTGCTCAGAAAAATGAGTGTATTTCCTCATATACCTAGTGGGCACAAAGATCAGTTCCTCCCTGCCAACTCCCAGAAATACAAATTAACATAAGCAAGAGGAGCCTCTTTTGTTGCCCTCTCTAAGATCTGTGACACTGCTCCTTTGTCATCTTGCAGGAAGATCTGCATGAGCACTGGTGTCAATTCTGATTATTTGAAAGAACAAGCTAAGCAGTGAGGCATCAAAAGGTTGCCACTGAAGGGTCCTCCAGTGATTGCTTGTCAAGAAAAGCACAATTGAGCTGCAACCTTCAGATCTGTGGGGGAGATTCTGAGCAAACATTTCTTAAATAAGGTGGCTGAACTTTAACATTTTCAGAGAGGTTTTTCTTTTTCTTTTCAAGGCAGAGTTTTTTTTGAGAAAGGATAAAGGCGCCTGGTCTCTAGAAATCAAACTATTTGTGAGCCTACAGAGGGTGCTACCTTCTAATAAGAGTTTAAACAAACACTTATGAAAAGGAAACACATGTCTTGCTGCCTTCCCTCATCTTCAGTGTCTTGTTTGCCTTTTGTGAGGTACAGCAGCCCACAGTGTGAATCCTCTTCTGAGAGCTGGCTCTCAAGTGAGAAAAGATGCAGGCGGCCCTCCTCTTAATTGTGTGTCCGTGGAGAACCACTCAAACATGCCAAAACCTCAATTTTCTCAGTTACAAGACAAGGACAATAGTGTCTCACAGACTGCCTTTGTGAGAAAAGAGATGATGTATCTTACAACTTAACAGAGTAGTATAAGACAGCAATGCTGACATACATCATTGGAACATCAACTTCACCACCCGCTTCCTCATCAAATACAATTGTCTCTTTATGAATGTGCTAAGTTAGGAAAAGAAATGACTCACCCAGATCATGAAGTAATGTTGCTCTGAGCTGAGATCAGCTGTTGTGCAGACCTCTGCCTATGAGACAAAGGTACTTTCTGTAGCAGATTTAATAGTAAATCCTTCAATGAATTCTAGAGTGAACTGTGGTGGTAACTAGAAAGAATGGAGGAATACAGTGGAGATTCCCTGGTGCAATTCCTGCAGAAGTTTTCTATATATGGTATTAACACAGCCTTATAAGCTTTTCTGCATATGAGAATATGCTACATAACTACTGTAGTACACAAAAGTAGCAGAGGCAAAGGAGACTTCTTCTAGAAAGGAAATGGAAACTTGTATTCATGTCAATCTTGGAGGCATCACACAAATTTAATGGACAATATCTAATCAAATGAGAGACATCCCTTTGATAGAGATGCATCACTGTGGGAATGTTACTGCCCCAGACTTGAACATTCACTGGAATTCCTAGGAAAAGCAAATAGGAAGAAAATTACTTTAGATTCTTGTGTGAAGAGGTCTTTTTATAGCTGCAGAGGAGCTATATATTGAACAGACTAAAAAACTGAATGTCAAACCAAGGCCTGGCTATAAAACTAAACAACCTTTCTCATTGCTCTGCTTTCTTAAACTTCAAAAGGGGGCTAGGGAATTTTTCACTCATATTGAAAAATTCCATATATCAAAAAGATACAGGGTTCACTTAAGATCCAATTCTGCTCATTGTATATAAATGTGTGTTGCCTTCCAGAGGGCTTTTATTCAAGTTCAAGAATAATACTCACATCTCTAGTACCACTGACTGCTTTATTATCTTTTAAACACAGGTCAGTCCTTTGATCTAAGCTTAGTTGATCTATATAGGCACAAGTGAAAGCAGAGCTAGGATATGATTGTTAAACTCTAATTCTAGTCTATTAAATATAAGAATAGATGTTACCTAGACCAAAAGAGACAAATGAAAAAGGTAAAGTTTTGATGAACCTCAATTCTATTCCAATTCTGTGTCCAAAGACATTATAAAGTCAATTCGTATTATGTGGCACAGAGTAAATATTTGATAAATACCTAGGGAAGGAAACCATGAGTGTAGAACTGAAAAATAAAAAGTGTAATTGATTGCTAAGAAGCTAGTCAAAAGTAAGAAGTCTAAGCAAGAAGAAACCAGTACTAGCATTCAGGAGTGGTTAAATCCTTCAAAGGGGACTTCTGAAGTATATCAAGACAACAGAACTTTGCTAACAAGCCCCCTCAAGTGAGGTATTTGATCTCTGTGTTCATTCAGTTAGTCCACAGATACTTACTGAGTATTAGCTCTAGGCAGAGCTGACCTACATATAGTGAATACTAATCAGAGCAAGCACTTGTGTAGGGCTTACTATATGCCAACATCTTTTCAGGAGCTTTAAAATAGTAACTTACTTGATTCTCACCATAATCCTGTTATCCTTACTTGCTTTTTTCCATTAGGCACTGAGAGGTTAAATATTGTGGTCAAGGTCATATAGGTGACCAGCCAAGTCAGACTAGCAGAACTAAGCAGGTTGGTCCTAGAACCCCCACCCTGCTCTTACTCATAAGGTCAGTTCTGTCATGGCCCTGTCTTATCAATGATAGGAAAAAAGAAGGCATTGAAGAGAATTATACTAGGCATTGCTAAGTGCTGTCATGAACAATGGGAGGGTAGCTGTTTTAGATCATATGGTCATGAAGGCCCTCATAAGGTGATAAAATCTGAGTGAAAAGAGGAAGATCCAAGGCAATCTAGGGAGGGATCCCTTAGGCAGAGGAGATAAAGGCTAAGAAGGGAACAGAGTATGAAAGAGGGCAAGAAGGTAATGGGAGTAATGTGAGTAGATGAGGGTCTCAGAGGACCTCATGGACACATCAGATTTTGTTGTCAGAGTGCTATGAAGCTCCTGGAGGGAGGGAGGAAGGAGAGGGATGCTTTGAGTTGATTCTTTCTTTGGAAAAAGATCAATCTTATAATGTGAGAACAGAACAAGGGACACAGGGAGGCAGGTGAGGTGGCAACTATACTACAGTGCTATATACAGGATGGTGTGAGAGAATACCTGACTCTACCTTACTTCAGGCCTTTGGTTCACAGCCAATTCATACTACCATGTATTGAAGTGGCTTGGGAGTACACCATGTTTCACCTTCTGGCTATCTGAATGGTTGCTTTACTTTGGGATGACTTGGCCTGACAGTAAATAAGCAGAAGTCAGCCAGCTGCTAAAGTATGTCAGGTAAGTTTTCTGAAGGGATGAGAATGCTGACTTTTGTCAAGCCTCTGTGAGGAGGAGATGACATGCTATATTCCATTAGGTTATGGTAGAAGTGGTGGCCTTGTAAGTATTGTAGGCAACTAGCATATTTCATAATAGGAAGATACAGTTGCCAAGATGTCCTGAGGAGGGTGCCCTCACGCTGCAGCTCTAGTTTGCTTTCAGTACAGATTATGACTCTCTAGTATGTATTCAGTAGAGATATACTGTGGATGTTAGCACAAGGATTGGTCCAGTTCCCTCCCCTGTATTCCCCTCCCACCCCCAGGTGTTGGGGATGGGACATAGAGCCTTTGTGTATGTGAGGTAACCATGTTTCCATTAAACTACACCTGCAACCCTGATCTTTATATTTTAAGAACAGAGCATTCCAAATCAAGAAGTAACACAGATAATAAGACATAACACAAGAAATAGTGGCATAGATTATTTACAGGCCCTTTTTTAAAGCATTTTATTCTGAACACTTTCATACTAAAGATAAAAACCAGCCTGTTTTGGAAATGGTTGCCAATATCTGCACAGAGAAAGTACCAATGAATGGAATCTGAATTTATGTAAAATACACACTCAAGCTGCTTGCTTTTCTAAGTTGTACTGCTAAGGGATCCCAAAAATTTAACTACTGGTAAAAATGCAATCATTATAGATTTTTCCAAGTGGAAAATCGGCAACTCTCATTTAATGGACAGATTAGTTTTTTTCTGATTATCCCATTTCTTTTCATGCCTTAGGTTAACCATCATTTCCTAAACCTGTTGAAATGAATGGGACTTATTCTATTGTGAGGTAAGTATGGAACTCAAGGATTCTCAGAATCTGAAATATAAAACTATGTTCCATTATGTAGGCTATAACACCATATTTAATCTTGATATAAAATACAAATTAAAGCTTTTCATATTGTTTTGTGTTTGAATTCCTTTTTGAGTCATGTATGAAGGTGGATCAGGGAAAGAATAGATCTGAAGTAATCTCAACCAATCAGGAATCTCCCAAAGTGCCAAAAATTCCCATTATAAAATATGGTAGAACTTTGAAAATAATAATGGGTTTCACCTCTGCACTTTCTTTCTTTTTCTTTTTTTTGTTTTGGTTAGTTGGGGGGCTTGAACTCTGGGCCTGGGCGCTGTCCTTCAGATCTTCAGCTAAAGGCTAGCACTCTACCACTTGAGCCACAGAGCCACTTCTGGTTTTCTGTTGGTTAATTGGAGTCTCACTGACTTTCCTGCCTGGGCTGGCTTTGAACTTGATCATCAGATCTCAGCCTCCTTAGTAGCTAGGATTACAGGTGTGAGCCACTGGTGCCCGGCTCACCTAAACAAATTTGTTGTAATTAAGAGAGAAAAACAGTTGAAAAAGGAAATGGAGCTTATGGTATAACAACAGTGAAAAGAACTGTTTTCTTAGAGGGTAAGTAAACCAATGCTGTAGGTTTTGACATTGAAATCCCTACCACCTGAGAGCCCATGCTGCCACATGCTCCAGCCCAGATCAAGTTCATCTGTGGACTCGTACAGAGTGAAAACAAAACACCTTCCAGGGGCTTTATGCAGCATCATGCAGCTGTGTTTTGTATTATACATACTAGGATATACCTTCCATGTGCACTAATTGTGGCTCATCACCCTTTCTGTTCATCCTGAATTGTGATGAAAAATACTAGGAAAAGGAGGATATATTTATACTCTGGCATATGTCCACACATGCTTGTAAAATATATCTTATAGACTAAGATTAAAAAACGGTTAAAGTTTTTCACATTAAAAACCTCCACATTTCATAAATCATGAGAGCTCAGCTTTTCAGAAGGATCAGTCCTTGAAAATAGAAAGCTGGTAATTTTCATGTCATCCTTGAATTTGATAACATAAGTTCACCTTGCTATGTCTGCATTAGGAAAAAGGACAGAATTTCATGATCCTGAAGTGTAAATCATAAACATCAAAAGCAGTGATGTCCAACCAAGGAGGAAATGTCAAAGTTGAAGGCTCTAAATGAAAAACAGTGAAACTCACTGAGGAATCTTACCTGTCGACGGATTAGTCCAAGGTCTCTTTTGGCTTTATTCACTAGAGCTTGAATTTCTACAGGATCCTTTACATTTTTATTTTCTCTAAAGGCATCTCTTATCCTCCTGACAGCATACGTTCTAAATGAATTCAAAGAAAAAAAAGGTGTCAGCATGTCTAAGGATATGCTTTTAAGTCAATTTAAAAGCTTTTCCTCTAGAGTTAACTGTAGAATATTCCGTAGTACATAATACAGTTTTAATATGCTCATGGAACAGATCAATCTCTTACTATTCTAGGATGACTAAGCAAAAAGATTTAGAAAAATAAATCTACCCCCAACAAGTCACTTACAAATGGCAAACTACTACTATGTTCCTTAGATTACTAGGTCTTTAGTTATTCATGTCTGGCTTTCCTCCATTAACATGGATAACTGAATCTTACTGTACAGAGACAAATCAAGAAGTCAGAGGTTAAATGATGCAGAGGTTAAATGATATACATGGGTCAAAATACTGATCAGTTTTCAACCCCAGTTCCATCTTACCATCCTTAGGTTCTGCTTTCTCTGTATAAAAGGTAAAGCTGTGGTCCACATCAGGATGATACAAGTGAAAACTGTGGAATTATGCCAAGTTGCTTTTTCTCTATCGCGAAATTGTACACACACATGCCTCTATTCATTTACTTCCCCTATACCAAAAAAGCCAAAGGCAATGCTGTGGCTTGCATCCTATGCCAGCTTCTTAACATAGGGACAGGTGCTTTAGCTGTTAAAGATGCCTACTACACTCAAGTAAGATGGAAGGATTAGGCTTTATTATGTGAGTCTGAATTTTGGCACAAAGCTTGGTACTTAGACTCAGCAATCAAAGTTATTCTTTCTTTTATCATTCTGGTTTTACCTGAATGCAATCAGTTTTCTCCTCCCTCATGTCATGGCCTCACCTTTGTCTGTGACATCCTTAGGGTCACTCCATTGCCTATAGAAAGGAGTGATCTGAGCAGTTAGCCACACAGAACAATCAACAGTTCTTCACCAGACATGCTCCAACACTCAGCCAGCTTGGCCTAATACTCACATACTGACCATCTACTTCATATTGAACAAGAGACTGATCTAAGGAGCAGGGCTCAAGATGGATATACCAGGCATCATTTTCTTTACTCTTTTTATGATCTCAGATTGCTCTGCCTTTTAACTTTCAACTCCAGCTAAAGAATCCATGAACACTACTGGACCATTTAGCAATAGAAGGAAATGGAAGCAAAGGAATGAAAAAACAGAGAATCTCAGGAGTTGAAGGTGGGATGTTGGGAAATTCGTATAGACTGTGAAATCTTATAGTACAAATTATGTTCCAGATAGACAGTTGTAAGTAAAAAAAATTTACATTAAAATGCAAATGTCAGTATTTTCTTTTTTTTTTTTTTGTATTCAAAAGCAAGAGTAAAACTACATCTTGTAACATCGGAGTCATAATGGAGAAGGCAGAGTTTAGGAACTTGTCCTTGTAGAAGCTCTGCTTTTAACTATGTTGGAACCAGCCAGAGGATTCATAGAGGAGAGTGCCTCAGTATCAATCTTAGGGGCTGTAATGATTGGAAAGGGGCCACAGGATAACTTAAATGGGACTCATTTGCTTATATAGGGACATATGAAAGATTGCCAAGAGAATGAGATTCTTTTTATGTCAAGGTACTAATCTAACAAGATCTTAGATGATAAGACAGTAAGCACACAGCAATTTCTGGTGTACTTTCTTGCACAGTATCTTTGTTCTTCTCAGCCAGTCACTCCAAAAGCTCTAAGACAGCTTTTTCCTGCATGGTGACGGGAGCAGAGAAAAGACAAAGTAATTTAACTTTATATTTTTATCCATAAGCAAAATTGTTTTTATAAGCTTAACTGATCTTTGGGAATTATCTTTATTATTATTTGTACATTTTTATTGTAAAAATGTTGTATTGAGGGGTTACAGATGTGAGCAAGGTAATGAATACATTTCCTATTGAGCATTGTTGCCTCCTCCTTTGTTTTCCCCCTACCATCCCTTCCTTCCCACTGCCCCCCCACCTCCCAACCGAAGTTGTAAAGCTCATTTTCAAGTAGCTAAAAGTATTACATGAAACAGAAAAGCTCAAATTTCTATTAATGTTTAAGAAAAGAACAGTATAACATTCTCAAATTCCTATTAACGTTTAAGAAAATAACAGTATAACATTCTCAATGATTATCAGTTGAGTATAAGGTCCAAGTTCAGAATATTTTGATCTACATTTTTTCCGTGTGCGTGTGTGTGACACTGTCCTTCTGTTTCTTTTGCTTGAAGTTAGCATACTCTACCATTTGATCCTGTTACTTCTGGCTCTTAGGTAGTTTTCTGGAGGGTTTCATGGACTTTTCTGCCAGAGCTAGTTTCAAACCATCATCCTCAGATCTCAGCCTCCTGAGTAGCTAGGATTACAGGCAAGAGCCACCAGCGTCTAGCACTCTGCGTTCTTATTTGTCTCCCCTGCTCTCCTAAGTCCTTTCCTAAGCAGATTGGCTCGAAATCCTGGAATTACATGTGTTGAAATCAATCAGTTGTTCTGAGTGTTTGAAATGAATGATACAATGGCCCTCTTCAGATCTTGTACCTTTTACCTTTATTCTTTGCTGCTGAAGACATTTCACTGTCACCGAACCACAGAGCTACTACTGCATAAGCACTGTATTTCTCATCATGTTAATTAACTTCAAATGACACAATTCTGAGAAGGTGAATACAAAGGTAGGTAAATCCTTTTTGTGGGAGGGCTAACAACTAAGTACTATGATCCTGCCCTTGCTCCTGCCCCATTTTTATCATTGGCCTCTTTTTTGCTAGCAATTGAAGTAAACTATTTATCCTCAAACACATTCTGACTTTAAGCCTCTTGACTTTATCGTTGAGCAAGAATATTTCAAAGAAAAATGTGCAGATACTATAAGGAAAAGGTCAGCCAGCTGGTATGCAATTCCTTGTAAGGAGATCTTCATAGAAGCAAGATGTTGATTAAATAAGGCATGAAACACAAATAACACATTAAATACATGTACCTTAGCCTAGCTCTTTGTTGAAGGTCATTATCGTTAGTTTATTTCAGCACAAATGAGGACATGGTTGAAATTCCAGGCAGAGCAAAACAAAAACACAAATTCAGAAAAGGAGAACAGGACCAAATAGGAAGAAGCAGCCTGCATCGACAGAACAGTTAAGGCCATGCTTGCTCTCCACCCTCCTGAAACCTACTGCTTCTTTGAGCTAGAGATTCTCATAGGACTTCTTTTCCTTCCCCAGACTTAGCCTTTTACTCTACCAAGAGATTATAAGTGTCCACAGGTTCATGTAGCTGTCTATTCTGTCTATCCTTCACTGGCCAGTCTTGCAAGGCTAAAACTTTCCTGAGATTGCTCCACTCACCCAAGCTTCCCAGCAGCAAAGCATCACAGCAGGTAGTAATGAAAGTGCCTGAGGTCTTGCCTTACTATCTCTCTCTCCAGAACAGCTGCAGACCAAATGCAGGCCATAATCAAAGCCTCCAGCAATTGGATGCTCATTTCTGGCTTTACCATCCCAACTGTGATTTGCCCAGTTTATGTAATGCCTCTTGTTCCTGCCATTCTTCATCATCCCAAATACTTGCTTCTCTGCTTAACCATCCTGTAAACAATATATATGCCTATTTTTGCTTGTCTCCAAGCATCCTCAAACAAGTATCCAGGGGAAAAACAAACATACTAGCCTGACCCTTTCTAGGGAAAACTCTTGTCTACTTTTAACTGCTTTGAAGGATATGACCTCCTTCTTGCCTTGACTGAAATGTGTCTTGCTCGTAAGGATAGTGCTGCCTTCAGTTTTTCAAAGAAATTTCTAAGGACTGCATGCTGGTGTGTTGTTGCATCTGCTGCTTCCAAATTATCAGTGACCCATACAAATCCTTGAGGTCATCCCATGATTAGACCATGTAGTATGCCTCTGTGATACTTTTATTCTGTTTACCTGTCCAGGTTTAGTCTCAAGCTTTAATATCCAAGGGCACTTACTTCAAACACAGATCACTAATTTTAATTAAGAACTATCACAACTTTTAGCCAGATGTACACACATCTGTAGATGTGGGTAGTATATGGACAGTATAGATGTAGACATATCTATACTGCCTGCACTTTTGAGAATTGTGGCAGTTCAAGGCCAGCCTGGGTTATGGTTGAGTTCGAAGCATGAGAACGAAGATTTTAATAAGTTTTTAAGCTCATCAAGTTTTATAATGAGCTAAATGATTTGCAATCTTTAATCTTAATAATTTTTTCTTTGGCTAGGTATGGAACTGTGGACCTTGTGTATGCTTAGCACATGCTACATCCCCACTGAAGTATACCTTAACCCCATCCTTTGCAATCTTTTTTTTTTGAGCCACAGCGCCATTTCTAGTTTTCTGGTGGTTTATTGGAGATAAAGGGTCTCACAGACTTTTCCTGCCTGGGCTGGCTTTGAACTGCGATCCTCAGATCTCAGCCTCCTGAGTAGCTAGGATTACAGGTGTACGTCACCAGCTTCTGGCTTCCTTTGCAACCTTTAACTGAGGAATAGATATCTACTAGGTAGAGGGTTTCACATTTACCCAGTTTCTACTCTTGACTGTTTTATTAATCTTCTGGTGGGTTTATATTTTTCTGTTACACTGGGTATGTGGACTTCTCTTTAATAAAATCTCTGCTAGTAATTTTGTTTCCAAAGTGTCAACTATCAAATATATGCCACCAGCATCCAGTATTTCTCTAGCCCAGACCTCCCTTTCACTTTTATTTATAAGCAATCAAATGTTTTTAAAATTTTATTTTAAAGGTCAATTTCTTGAAGAATAATTTATATATAATAAGATGTGTTGTTTCAAAGCATTTTGACATGTAGGCCTGGGGAAAAGCCATACCATTCACTTTGAGTGGTTTATTTGGTTTTTCATCTTTGCATTAGCTCTCATCCTCTACCAGACCTGAGGCTAAAGCTCCATTCTTCTCCACTGTGTGGCTGCCATAGTAATGGCAGAAAAAGCTTCTAGTGTTTCTTTTTTTTCTCGAGAGAATATTAGTTGTGAGTTCCATAATCATTGC